CTTCACTGGTTCAAACGTATGATGGTACAGCCTAAACTGCGTGTTGCAACTAGTTTGCGGAATGCAATGAACAGCCTCTATTGCACCATGCAGAATACTTGTCTCGAAATTGGCCGCCACATTTGTCGACAGAGTTACTGGCTATTCAAGTCAGGACTGTTTTGCTGGAATTGCGAGCGAACGTGTGTGTTACATGCACGTTTGAACAAGGCGCGGTACTTTGCAAGCAGAGGCGGCACATGGTCATCCCCTCAGTTCCTGAGCTGCGACTTGAGGTTTCACAACTTGAGGCACCACAGCCTTGCAGTCTGAGAACTTACCTGCTATTGGCATGAGCTAAGCCAAAGCAATGAAATCCACTGACTCTCTCGCCTGGGATCTGGAACACAGCGAGGCCCCTTTCTGGACTTCCTGGAGTGCTTGAAGATGCTTGAAGTATTGTGCATTCGCCTGACCAAGGGGGTAAGCGATCACAAGCAAAACTGATGCGATAGAGACCATCCTGTTTGCTACGTCCCAGCTTTGGGCCCAGGTTCAGGGCAAGGCAGCGTGCTTGGCCCGGGTAGCTGCGGTCTTGGCTGGAGCCTGAGCGTATCCCACACGAGGGGATTGATGGGCCAAAACTGGTAGCGTGCCGGTGACTGGCAACGAAGCTTTCTTCTTTGTTGGCGCTCATTCCTCGCAGGTCCACTCGTCACGATGGTTTTCTGAGTTGCCCGAATGATGGCTTGGTGTGAGTGGAATAGCGCTGTTCTTCCTTCAGGTGATTGCCCAAATCCTTGGCAGCGTGCTGAGCTTTGGAGCGACATTCATACAAGGAGGCGTGGGTAAATACAATCAGGTAATGTTGCAGGCTCGAGAACGCCGGAGTTCTCATTGTGGCAGATGCAAAGAAAACAATATATAATTACACAGATTGGGTGACTTTCGTTACAATACACAGATTGTGTGACTTTTGTTTGCAGGTGTTGCGATGAAGGTAGTGAAACCCGCTGAACCCGCTGAACGTATTAGCTCCATCCTACTGGAGTGATATCTTGGGTCCTCGCGGCAGCCAATATTCCTTGCGTGGCTGCGTGCCCAGATGAATGCTTGCCCTTGTGGGTTATGCCTGGTGCCAGGGTGACTTGTTGCATGGGTTTTCACAATGAAAGAGAGTTCACACGGGGTTGATTTCCCGGCCTGATCTACACCCCCATATGGCTGTGGGTCAAATATAGGTACCCAAAATTGAAGCCTGGTAAGTGGAAACATGGACTAAGACCAGCGGTCTCTTGGTGTTTAATTTTGACCCAACCCATATGAACGTCATCTTGCTTTACTACACCTGAAGCGCATGTTTGGCAGGACCTCGCCCTCGGCCACGGCTACAGCGGAGCTTTAGATCAGCTGGAGGCCTTTCGCGGGTGACAAGATTGCCAGAAGCACAAGGCGAAACTGCATGAAAGTAATCTTCAGAATGGCTGAGACAGAGATAAGGAGAGCTGGATGAATCAGATTTCAGGGCTGAATCATGTAAAAAATCGGGAGGTTTCAGGACTGAATGACCTAAAACCCGGCAACAGAGAGGAGAACTGGATGGAGCCTGAGCTGAACCTCAAGCGCCAGGCGTGATGCAAGCCACTTCCGTGGAGCTGGAGCTGGCGGTCCAAGCTCCCAGAGCTTGGGAAATGGGCGGGTCTTTCTACCAACCCCCCCCGTTGGTTTTGTCCCCTGCCTTTTAGGGAGTTCGCCTGGAGGCTCGGGTGTTTCCCCGCGGTTTTGCGGTTTGGTTTTCTTTTGAGGGAGTTCGCCTTGAACGACATGCAGGTGACCGGTCCGAACTGTGGCTTGCGATTTACCAGGTGTGCCAACCTTGCAAGCTCCGCTTCTCAGAGTCACTCCCCCGCAAGAAAGAGGATGAGTGAGCTTGTGCCCGAAGAAATGCCTCGAGTCGATCAGTGCTTGATTTTGAGGTCATCCAGGGAAAGCCAGTGATCGTCGACTTTTATGCCACCTGGTGTGGACCATGCCGGAAGCTCAAGGCAGCACTCGACAACTTGATAATTCGAGCGGTGCGAGTCGGGAATGAGGGAACGAACCCAACAAATCCCTAAAAGGAAACCATTAGTGGGATGGTTCATAGGGCTCATTCCTCATTCCATGTCTCATTCCCTGAGCACCAGCAAGATAATTTGTACATTGCGTTTCTGTTCGCAACTTTCTTGTTTGGGGCAGAGCAAAAGTTTCGGATCCGAAGGATCAGTTTCGTGTTCCGCCAGGTTCCATTGTGCATTGGAGCCAGCATGCAAACAGCACAGGTGTCAGATGGTTTCAAAGATTCAATACTTTCCCTGAATGACAAGACGACCGCACCCAGCGCAAGACATGTGTGTCGAGGGAGCTACTTCATGTTTGCAGTGAACGCGAGGTCAACTATGTTCCTGCGGTGCAAGCTGTTTCTTTTGATGTCAAGTAAGTGAGGAGAAACTCGCCCTCATAGTGCCTGTTGATGCTCGATGCCAATTCAATATAGAGGCCAACTGAACACGCCATGGCTGCATGCTCGGCATGCAGATCGTTTTTGGCCGTTTTGCAGCATCCGCAGACCCTGAACGACTCAGAACTGCGCATGTTGCAACATCGGTTCCAGTGAGGCTTTGCCTTTACATATCTAGTGGCAACACAGCAGACGCTTGTGTTCTTTGGCATCAACATTGATCTGAGCGTCAATGCAAAAAAAATCGGATCGCAGATATCATGGCATTCACAGATTCACTTGGAAGTGGAGGGCCGCGGCCGAGTGGGACCACTGTCGAGCTCTGAGTTTTCAGGTCAGTTGCTGGCGCCAGAGCTGGCAAAGGCACGTCGGCACGGGCGCCGATGCGTGTTTTTTTCTTTCTGGTCGATAAGTCGATAGGCAGCGAATGAGAAATGGAATGACCCGAGAGAAACAGCATGCTCTATGGTTTCTAATTTGGGAATCCCCTTCCGGAGCAGGGAATGAAGGAAGGACCCCAATAAACCATCATCTATGGTTTCCTTTTTCGGGAATCGCCAAACGGTTCCCAACCCCCGGAACGGTCATTCCCTACCTATCCCACCAGCAAGTGTTTTGTTTGGCTCGCCGCAGGTGGCACAGGACCTCGGCGACCATGTCACCATTCTGAAGGCCAGAAGGGTGGAAGAGCCACAGCCACAGACACAGCTCATCATAGGTTGTTCGCATGACTTGTAGCTTGCAATCAGTCATGTAGTAATGATGATTGGGGATGTGTGTATCTAGACTGTATAGAGATGCATGAATCATATTATATATATATATTCATACATGTATCGGTGTATATGGCTGTGGCTCAAAATTAAACAGGAGGGGTTGCGCGGGTTTTGGTCCATGTTTCCACTTACCAGGGTTCCATTTTGGTACCGGCTTTTTGAGCCACAGCCATATGTGTATAATAGTACATATATATATACACAGTTATTGTACCATATGCATGATATAATATACAACATGTGTTTGCATGATTCAGCTTTCAGGTAGACACGGATGTTGAGACCGAGATGTCTACTGACCTCGGCATCGAGGAGATCCTCCTTGTGCAGATTCAAAAGCATATGCACAATGATGCACCCATGATGCGTCCTAGCTAGCAAGGCATTCAGTCCTGACTCAGTATGTGATGCAGATCATGCCTGCAGATGAGCACACCCCATGAGTGCTGGTTTGCTTTATGAAACTCACCGCTGACGAGGCCTTGCCAACGTTATTGTTCTTCAAAGATGGCAACCTGCAGCAGGGCTCCCAGATCCTTGCGCCTTCTGAGCGAGGCCATGGTCCGATATTATGTCAAGACTGCCCGCTTTTCAGGCCGCTTCCAGTGTTTGCTCGAACCAACTGGTGGATCCACTTCTAGTTGCTCGAACCAATGGGTGGGTTCGAGGCATGTACATGTCAGATTTGCTTCGAGGCCAGTGGCCAAAGTTGAGGGCATGGTGAACTCCGAGTGGCTGCAGGCCAGCGCTTCTGGTAGTCGCGCTTCTGGTAGTCGCGGTCAGAGGTCAGAGGTCAGAGGTGTTGCGACTGCCAGCGAGTCATTCAAAAGACGGCGGAGATCTATTCGGCTGGTCTTTGTCAGGACTACATCCGGAGAAACTTGCTGAAACCCTCGGAGTAGGAAGCACATGAAGCGTAGCATCTAGCACAGAGCGATGAGTTAATGCTTTCTATTTTCTTGGGCGAAGCGATGTGAGCGTCGCAAATACATGCCTTTGTCAGAACCCGAGTTAGTTGCTGGTTGCCTATATCAAGGATGGACATGGGTCCCATTATTTTGACAGAAAAACCGCTGGCCAAACGGTCCTTCGTGGCTTGATTCAGTGATTCTGACACTGGCGCCTTGTGCTGTTCAAGATGTGGCAAAAACTTCAGCCCAGGGGCACCATGGGACACCCATCTTTAGCTCTCACAAATGGGTGTGTCTTTTGTTCGGGGGGACCCCTGTTTTGCGGGTTGCAAAGGAAAGTCCAAAAGGAAGACCACGAGTTTCCGTGGGAGTCCCCCTATTTTAAGACACGCCCCAGTTGTAACGATGCAGACATTTGAAAACTGTACAGCTGAGTTGAGGCTGGGTCACCAGGAAACTTTCCGGTGAGCTGTGGAATCTTCCCAGTGGGCCTTGGCATTGCGAACTTGCCAGCGTGGCAAGAACTTTACGAAGGCGTGAGGCAGGGGTTGTGACCGCTGTTTTGCGCTTCAAAAGAAGTGAGCTGGATGCGAGACTCATGTCTTTCGGAGACAACGTGTGGAGGCTGATGCAATCAAATGGAACTGGGGCCTACGGCAACCAGTGCGGCCATGCTTCATAGGATCCATGGAAGTTGGCCAACGCATTCCCCCGAAAGGGAATATCAGAAATGACCGTTTCCTGCCTAATGTTGCGTTCGCACCCATGCCAACCGAAAAAAGCAACTCATGAAATCAAGTGAGCATGAACTTGACTGATTGCTGCATGCCCGGGCTCAAGCTGAAAAGGTCGTAGTGGGGAAGGAAGCCCTGTCGCATGATGAGGCGACCGGCCGCGTCGTTTGCTGCTGCTGCTGCTGCTGCTGCTGCTGCTGCTGCTGCTGCTGCTGCTGCTGCTGCTGCTGCTGCTGCTGCTGCTGCTGCTGCTGCTGCTGCTGCTGCTGCTGCTGCTCCCTTTTCCTAGTGGAACGTGTCGCTTGTGTCAGCCCGTAGAAGCAAAAGAAAGGATCAACATGGGTGTGGCTCAAAACAAGAGCTGGGGTTACGCAGGTTTTGGTCTTTATTTCCATCCAAGGGCCCCAAACATGGGTTCCACTTTTTTGAGCCGCAGCCATATGAATATTGCCATGGTTCAAAACCAATTGTATCATTTTGGGATAGGTGAATTCACCACCCATTTTAGAACCTATTTTCGTGGTTGGATTGGGATTTTCACTGGGGGCTTTCCCGAGAGAAATTGGACGGCGCGCCTTCAGCCAGGTCTCCGCGGGCTCGCTCAAAGCTGGCGGCGGGAGGCGCGGGAGCCTTTTGGATGCCATGCGTTGAACACCGGGCACGACTGAAACGTGGGAGTCGGTCCAAAAAAGGTCCTCAAAATGGGTTGCCCTGGCAAGGGGAAACATGGACTAAAACCTGCGGTTTTCTCTGGTGCTTTAGTTTTGACCCATGCCCACCTGGCGGGTTTTCCGCGGGGAAGGAGGGGATGAGACATGGAATGACCCCCTACAAACCATCCCCACTGGTGGTTTCCTTTAAGGGAATGCCCAAACGGGTCATTCCCAAACCACGGAAGGGTCATTCCCTATCGCACCAGCAAGAAACAAAGATGTTGATTTGATTTGCGTGTGCTGTGGCCAGGATTGGCCGCCGTGGCGATATGGATGGCTGGGGCAGGCCCGTTGCAAGTGGCTCATCGGCCATCGTTGGGCGATGGATTTGCTGGGCGTTGGGCGTTGGTACTGCTTTGACTCACCTCTACAGACTCGATGACTCGATTGCTCAGCTCTTCACATGCGAGGTTGGAGGCAAAGCGTTGCCTTCCTTCCAGGGCAGGCTGGCATAGCACATTGACAGCACTTTCAGCCCCACGCTTTTGATTTGAAGAGGCGAGATTGATCAAGTGGCTTCATGAGAATTCCTCTCGGATGTTATATGCTATTCACACTCAGATTTTTGACCCAACGGTTCGCCTGCTTCAAGGCGAACTCTCGAAGAGAGCTACTAGCTTCCGCTGCCAGCTCAGAAGGCTCCAACTGTTTCTTTTTTTACCAGACCAGAGAAGCCAATCCCAGGGTGTCTTTCCCGGACATGTTGTCACATGCGCAAAAAAAAAGAAAGAACAACGACAAGGGATGTCGTGTTGCGAAATCAGCCATCCGAGGCCATGCTGCTGAGCTTTCCCACTCGCTCGGCGCTGACGTCTTTGCCTCGAGCTCTGAACTGCAAATCTCAGACGAGGTGCCAATGCCGAGCGGCTCGGCGCCAAGAATCGGGTCGTTCTGGCGAGAATTCACGACCAGATTGGCCGAGGTGGTGATAGCTCCCAAAGAAATTTGTGAGATTTTGCAGTAGACAGATAATGGAGAGAAAGCTGATAGACTCACCTTACCTTGCTGCTCTCAAGCAAAATTTCGATACATTGACCAAGCCAGCACGCTTTGAATGGGAAGCCCTGCCGGCACAATGCGTTCTTCACAGGGTCACTCCGATCACCATGGCAGATCAGTTCTCTGTCGCTGGAGAACGATGTCGAATCTGGGAATTTCGATGGCTATGACATGGAAGGCGCCTTCGGCTGCACAGGGGTTCAAGCATTTGGCAGTCGCGCCAGAGCTTGGGCTCTTGGAAAGAAAGCTATTGATGCATGGCCCCAGTTGATGGAGAAGCAGCAGTGGAAGTAGGGCGCCGTAAAAAAGTGTGCATGCCCCAAGTTGTGTGACGGTATGCACACGCAGCTTGTTTCTGTGCCGCAATTCGTGAGTTCCTGGGCAAAGACAGCGCTCGAGGTACAATGTCCAGGCTGGGAGACAAGCTGTCCGCAGGCTACGAGAAGGCCTGGACTCAAGTGATCGAGCCATGCGCTCAGCGGAGATCAAGTCGGTCTGTTTTTTTGAGGTAAAGCCGGTGTGCGAGGAGGTCAGCATCATCGCAAATGTCCGCCTGTCGATTGCTTGCTTGCTGGTCTTGTGAAAAAGGTGGTAGAAGGTGGGCGAAAACCTATGGAGATGTCTCCACTCCCCATCTTCCGCTTGGAAGCTTTCCATCCTCAAGCATTGGAGGCGTTAAGGAACCAGGGCACCCCAACGAACTTCAAGCACAGGGCGGTGCAGAGTAAAGGTCCTTCCTCGTCGCCAAAGAACGAAGCAAGCGCAGTGCATCCGCAGTGCTTCGAAGCAACTGATCTTCGGACTGTGAGAAGTTGACACTGCACAAGGCTCAGAATCTTGGAGCCCTGCAGTTTTTGTTTGTCCTGGTAGGATTTAAGCCATTGCTCTGCGTTGAGCTCGTGTAAAGTGTGCAACTTGGATGTTGCCTCAGCCAATGTGAGAATTTGTTGGCTTCCGACACGACAAGTGCCCTGTGCTTTGCTCTGTTAAGTTGCCCCATACACCGCCAAAGCTCAGCCGTGGCTCCTACCACTTGACTAGCCGGCTTCCAAAGAGTGTGGTACCTAAAAACAGTTGCAAGATTTGCAGGTTTACACCAAGTAAAGATGGGTCAATCGCTTCCGACCTTCCCCACCATCACGGGCATTGACCCAGTGGGGAACGGGTGCTAGTAGATGTAGGAGGCTGCTTTGGAGGTGAGCTTGCTGTTCACACGCGGCGGTGACTGCCGTCATTGCAGCACCAGCCCTTTAGCATTCCAAACAGGGGACACTGCTTTCTCCACAAACTCAAAGGTTTCAATGGAAAAAAAAACAGCCATACTCTCTGAAAGCGCCAATCTAGCGCTCTCAGCGCCACCAGATTTGTTCCTGCCAGTGTGTTTCACGCTGGTGACGGCCATTTGCCGTCAGTGATGCTCACTCCTATAGGCCGTTACAGCGAAAAGGCACAGAAGCAGCCCACTGTGATGGGTTTCTTTGGCTGCACTTTCAAGAGTCGCTCTGCTGGATATCCACTTAGTGGTTGAGGGAGGCCCAGACAGATTGGCTGATTGCATTCTTGCTTGCAAGAGCAATGCTGGCCAGGGTGGTTCCCGAACTAGCCTCGACGACTCCACCAAGCGGTACGTCTGCGACAGGAACGACTTGCAGAAGCAGAAGGACCGTGCGAGGAGGCATCTTCCTGTCACGCGAAGCGGTGCCAATGGCAGGAAGAAAAGGGTGAGTACTCTTACATCAACGCAGCGAAGGATGTGAAAGCTGAAGAGAGGGCGCAGAAACAGGCAGAGAAGGAGGAGCGCATTCGTAGGTCAAAGTCTATTGTGACCCGGTAATACTCTTAAGCTTGCCGCGAGAATGATAGTCATGAGCGGCGCGTCCTGCGCCCCATGAGCATGATGTTGCCTAGACACTACTTGTCATGAACAGCTGTTCATTTAACTTTCCGTTGGGGTTCATCCAGACGTGTACAAACACAATTTTTACGAATGATTAGCTGGTGCATATTGTACTCCCTCTGGTTGGACCGGTTGGATCACGATGCGTGGATGTATTTCTGAGCGGCACGATTTTCCGGTGCTGAGCGTCTGCCAAGCGCCTACTCGCGAGTCAGTGAACCGGCGTTCTCGTGAGTCAGGCTGCTGTTTTCAGCGGACAGCGGATAGGCTCCACCCGGCATTCAGGAACAAATGGAGAGTGCGACGGAACTTCAAGTGGCCATGGTTCAAAACCAATGGTACCATTTTGGGATAGGTGCACCACCCATTTTGGTCTATTTTAGTGGGGATTGGGTTTACTGGGGGTACGGGGTTTTGGCCCATGGCCAAGTAAGTGTGAAGCTTGTGGGGCTGTTGGATTTGGTCGGCCCTGGGCAGATCTTGCTTGCGTATGTTGCGAAAGACAACACCGGATTTGCAGCGGCCAACTTACCACAGGCAAAGAATCAAGTGCTTGCTTGAGGAAGCTGCAGCATGGTTTGCAGTGAGAAGGATTGCACAGAGGTCTTGCTTGTCTTGGCTCGCGACGCAGACTTGGCTCAGCGGAGAGTAGACTCACTATAACTACCAGGTAGTTATAACATCTATGAATCATATCCCCGAAAACGAATGGACCTTTCTAGCCGCTCTTCTGATATTGAACCGGGAATATCAAAGAGGTACGGCACCTCATTGCACATGTTTTCTTTTTGGTGTGTGCGTTGTGTCGCCTTACTAGGGGCGACTTTTAGTGGTTACGCCCCCCAGATGCTCACAGATCCGGATCTCCCAGATGCGTGCAGGCGGGAATCTGGTTCACGGCTTTGATTCCACAGAGCTGTGGCAGGCAAGCTTCCGACACACGTGGTCGCCGGCAAGGCCACGCCGGCAAGGACATGATGGCCGTGGGTCAAAATTAAGCCACTAGAGAAAACCGCAGGTTTTGGAAAGCATGGTTCCTTCTAGGGTAACCCATTTTGGGTACCTATTTTTGACCCACAGCCAGAGGTTGTTTCGCATGCCGGCCAGTTGTTGCGGCAATGTTCGCACGTTGCGGATGTCTGGGAACGGCATGAGTCAGAACTGAAAAGGGGCCAGGGCAGTTCTTTCGGGGCCGGGCAAGTTCTTTCAGGCCAAGGGCAAAGATCCGGGTTCGACATTAATTTGGAAAATGGGGGGTCCAACCCCACCCCCCAAAACACCAGACCCTGATGGCAAAGGATTTATTCCAACAGTCAACTTAATGGAGAAGGCTGGTTTGCTATCAGGCTGCTTCCGCTGTTCTGGGGCTGCAAAGAGTTCGGCTGCACTCAGTCTGCGTCCAGCTGTACTGTGGATGGACAAAATCCTGCACCACTTTGAAACCATGGGAAACCATTGTTTGTTGGTATTTTGGTGAATCATCATTCCAGGGTTTCTTAGATGGTGCAGGATTTTGTCCATCCACAGTAATTATGGATATATCTTACTCTCACACAGTTGAGTTGATAGGCGTCCGCGCCGCTTTTCCGGGACAAGCACTTGACAAGGCCTCGAAGCGGTGAAGTTGCAGATATTTGCATATTGTTATTGCCATTCATAGGGTCACGGGCCCGAGGAGTCCCCGGTTGTGAAGATGTGGACACTGCATGATGCGCATGATGGAACATAGACAGTTGCAATGCCGAAGGTGAGCTTCCATTGGCAGTCTGAATCCATCAGGGATGGTAGCGTGGACTTCCTGACACATTGCACGATGTCCGGTCATCACTCGAGGCATTCCAAAAACAGACAAACACCCCACCCGATTCCGACTGTGACCCAATTCCAACCCCGACCCGATCTGACTCTAATACCGTATACCGATCTGATTCCCACCCTGACCCACATATTGCATCACACACTTACGATTTCACATTGGTGACGGACACGCACCCCGCGTCACACACGCACCACACACACACAGACACTAGACTCACCGAGGCACAAGCGACAACTGCTTTTCGCGTGACAGGTTTGACGTATGTTTGCATGTAGGCCATCAGGCACTGTGACACCTGGAAGCAAGGCGCGCAGCGAGGGATGTGGAGCTGCCAACTTCACGGTAGACGTGCCGCCGCTGAACTGCGCGCAGCTCGTATCTCAAGATCACGGCTTGGAGCCTTGACACGACAAAGCTCTGCAGATGCAGCCCTAGCTGCACTTGTTTACTGCGTAGCTGCAGATTTCTTGGATGACAGAAACTGCAAGCAAACATAGTCCTAATGTCAGCATCCGTGTGACCACGAAACCATTGAGTTGGCGGCAAACAGAACAAGTTTGCAGGTGTCTTAAAAATCGAAGAGTCCACGAGACAGCAAACAGCTTAGAAGCTCCACCACCTGCGCTGGCGCCGACAAGCCATGGAGGCGCAGGCCGATTGGAAGGAGTTGGCCCGGTCCAAAGGTCTGCCCAGTGCTGTCCTTCAAATGCGTCGGACAGGGTTGGGTGACTTGACACTGGTCATTGTTCTGGCCATACATCAGAAACGCTTCACCAAACATGCTCGCAGGTGCAGATGCTGCTAGGCGCGACGGAAAGGTGATGCAATGCAATGTGCCAAGCCGTCTTTGAGGAGCAGCCCTCTACTTGCTGCAGAGATTCTGGCTTCCAGCCTTGCTTGTTTGGGGTGAGTGCCTCAGAGAAAGACCAGTGAAAGCATGGCCACGTCATGAGCGCTTTGCACGCAAGTAACGTGAGGCGTGTGCCCTGGAAATCCAAGGTGGAGCCCGCTTTGTCATGGGCGTATCGTGCTCTGCCGCGTTTTAAAGCACGCACGGGTGGTGGAGGATGTTTGTGAAGGATATCTGTTGGGGGGGGGGGGGACAGCGTTTCATCGAGCCGACTGCGAGTCATCGTGCAGCTGACAGACGCTTTGCATTGGACTTTCCGAGACGTCACTTCATACAGAGTTGTATAGGTGATCCATGGGTCACCCCAGTGCTTTAATTAGGCTCACCCCAACTTTAAATATCTTTAAATCAAAGAGCCTCACAGACGTCATCTCAAAGCTTTACATTGTCTCTGAGTTCCCTGGCCCATCTAGAGTGCAGTGTCTTGACTTCAAGGGTCGTCTACTTGCTGAAGTCAGTGTGCTTGGAGCTCCTCTTGAAGGCCGCTCCGTTTGACGCCGGTTAGAGCGCGCAATGCATTTTGGGGAGGTGTGGTCTTGCTTTACGCCGGAGACAGCTGTCCAGCCAAAGGCACGATTTGCTGTGTTTTTTTGCTGGCAAGCTTCCGTTGCCTGCCGCTGCCAGAGAAAAACCGCACCACAAGGAGAAGAGAGCAATCAGAAAAAGAAAGGTGCAACTGTTGACTAGGCCCTAGCAGTGATGGTCTGTGAGTTAGATTTGCAGCTCGCCAGAGAGGCTTCGCAGACTGCCCTGACGCTGACTGCCGAGCAGAAGGCTCTACCCCTGCGAGGCTGCAAGGCGCGAGTGGGTTGGGACGTCTGGGGTTTGGCGGGTGTTTGGGTGTCCGGTGTTTGGTGTCTGGCGGGCGTCTGTGGCGCCTCTTGCAGGGGGTGATCGGCGTGGTCGGTTTGTTGGGCGTTTGGCGGTTGGCAGCCCTCCATGCTAACAAAAAACAACGACGCACCCCGCAGCGCAGCCACAAAGCAAACGGAGCGGCGCGTTCCTCAGCAGCAGCTCCCGCCGTGCGTTTTGCCCTGGGGTGCGGGGGCTGCCGCCCACCCACCCCCCCCCCAAGACTCTGCCAACAAAGCAACAACGCGCCTCCCAGCGCAGCGACAAAGCAGCCCTGGCATTGGCAATTGTTTGGGCACCCCTCATCGGTTGTCAGCACTTTGCGGAAGGCATCACCTCCAAAAGGACGCTTGTCTCGAGAGAGAGGACTCGTTGCGCTGGAAGCAGTGTAGCGCGCGAAGTACACTTTGCCTGCTTTAGCTTCAGCTTGGCGCAGTGATTTGTTTGCGTGCGTATTCCTGCACTTGCGTTGTGTTTCTCTACGTGTCTTGCAGTATTTTCTTGCTCCACTCTGCTCCGCTTGACCCTTACTTCCTCCCCCTCTTTCCGTCCTCCGTTCTCTTCCTCCTTTCTCTTGCTGCCGTCGCCCCTTCCTCCCTTTTCCCATTCTTCTCTTCTTCCCTTCTTCCCTTCCTCCCTTCTTCCCTCCTTGCCTTCCTGTTTTCGGAAGCCTGCCTGCCTTCCTTCCTTCCTTCCTGGAGCCTCCCTCCCTGCCTCACTCCCTCCCTGCCCTCCTTTATTCCTTCCTTCCTTTCTTCCTCTTCGACACCTTGTCGACAGCGGCCCCACGCCAAGAGCCGCAGAATGTCTGTGCAGGCGCCGAAAAGACCAGGCCATGGGTTGCATAACCTGTGGCGAGCCATGGGGTGGATGAACATACATTTGCTACCTATTTTGATGTTCACCGGGGCTACAGGGTTTTGACCCACAGCCACAGGACCAAGTGCTACAAACGCCTTGGCCGGCAACATGCCAGCAGCTCTGCTTTACAGAGCCGGCCGGCAGACGCCGAAAACACCCGGGCAGCTACCCGGCGCCGAAAGCGCCCGGGAATACCAGGCGCCGAAAACACCCAGACCCCGAAGACATCCTTACAACGTGCTAGAAACACCACCATTCCCGGTGCTTAAAAACCGCCAGGCGACAAAAACACCTGGGGAAAATCAGGTGCCTAAACCACCCAACAGCTAGCGGGACCCAAAACACCAGAACAGGCGACAAAAGCCCACAGACCCTTTGACGCTGGCAACCATTCAGGGTGATGCCTTGACCTTTGCAAATGTGTTGCTGAGTATAGTCTTTTTGGGCTTGACCTTTTAGCCAAATTCGTAGGCAGTAAATGAGCCATGGCCTTTGAGCGCAGAGTGCCCTGCTTGCTGCAGGTGACGCCAGCCAAGGAGTACACAGCTTCTGGGCAAACGCTCCCGCCCACCAAGAGGCAACGCTATCCAACTTGCAGTCGCTTGCAGCTTCATTTGGGTATGGGTCAAAATCAAACCTCCAGGTGTCCATTTACCAGGGCAACCCATTTCGGGTACCGATTTTTGAGCCACAGCTTCATTTGGCCAGGGTTGCCACGATCTGCAAAGAGCCACCCGCTGGGCAGCAGATGGATTACGGAGGCGTAGCCATGTGACTTGCTCACTGGCAGCTCTCGAGCCATAGTCTCTGGTTGGCGTTCAATTTGCTTGGCTCGACGCGCCGTTGCGCCAGACAGTGTGAGTAGCAAGAGCTGGGGTATGCACTTTGGCCGGGCAGCCAAAGAGGAGACCTCAGGGCATGAAAGGCATTTGCAAGCTTGGCAGCGCTCCCCAATCACACGTTCGACATTCATTCTTTGGTTTGCACTTTGGGTTTCTTGGATGCACGAACATGTCCTTTCCATCTTCCTTCGCAAAGCTAGAAGCAACTTTCCTCGGCTCTTCCTTCGCTTCGGCCTTGCGCAGGAGACGTCGCTGGGCCAAGTGGAAGATGAGGCTTGGCTCCAGAAGCGTCGCTGCCTGCGCCGGGGCCCTGAGACGGCAGGGAGGGAGGGAGGGAAGCTGATGTTTTGCCAAGAGCTACGTGTGCACATAGGCGCCAGCTCGATAGACGTTGTTGTGAGATAACTGTTGTCCTTGGGTTGGACACTGTAAGCCCCGAGTTAATCTGTTCACAGACAACTAGGATGATCAATGAGTCCATGATTCCTTACCAGCTAAATCATGCAAAGTGTTGCAGGGCTCCTTAAAAGATGCATTTTGCAACCATGTGAAACATGTTGCTTTTTCAACACCAAAATAAAGGGGTTTCCCACCATTTACAAGGCAATGTTCAGGTGTATTCACTGTAAGGATCTCTGCAAAACGCTCAGACTTAGCTGGCCACGTGCTCAAAACCCGGGTAGATGAAGGTTAGGGACAATCCCAACCATAAATAGCTGCGGATGTCCGCCTTCTTAATTCTTGAAGCATGGTTCTTATAATGTAAGGATCCCTGTGTTGAGCCGAGGAATAGGCGATGTTTCTTCGGACCACATCTATCGGGGGCCCCGGGGGAACTCTTGAGGCGAAGGGGCGGAAGTGCACCGGCAAGTGCGACAATATGTGCAGCAGAAGGCCCTTTGACATATGGCCGTGGTTGTCAAAAATATGGTGAGCTGTGGCATGTTGGTGTGGTTGTCAAAATGAAACCACCAGGACTTGGACCGTTTGGTTTAGTCATGGGTTCCACTTACCAGGGCAAGCCATTTTGGGTACCCATTCAAAACTGTTTTGGGATCCCATTTTGGGGGATTGGTGAATTCACCACCCTGGCCAAATGAAGCTGTGGGTCAAAAATAGGTACCCCAAATGGGTTGCCCTGGTAAGTTGAAACATGGACCAAAACCTGCGGTCCATATCCTGGTGGTTTAATTTTGACCCAAACCTATGGGATCGAATTCACCACCCATTTTCGAACCTATTTTAGTGTGGATTGGGATGTTCACTGGCGGTACGATTTGGATTTTGACCCTTTCACATATCTTGGGGACATGTTTGAAGGCACATGGCAGTTGAAAAGATGACCCATGCTCCACACCAGAACGGTGTTCATCGCAGAGACCGCAGGGGCCCCCCCCACTAGTATTTGCAGGACGGGGGCTTCGGGTGGGGTGGTTGCGTGTGTGGGGTAGTGGTGAATGGTGGTGCTGTTTGTTTGGGCTGCATGCTTTCCAGACGCCGCAGGACGTGCGGCATGGATGTGTCTTCTCGGCTGCTAGTTTTTTACTGTTTGCAGCTCATGTGGCAGTGATTTTTTTTGGAGGGGTCTGTAACAGAGCCGCGGCGGACATTCGTTACAGACCTCGTTACAGACCTCTGTAACAAAACCAGCTGGCTCGTTACACACCCCTCGTTACACACCCTCGTTACACACCCTCGTTACACGCCCTCGTTACACGCCCTCGCTACACGCCCTCGTTACACACCTCAGATGAACAAGCCGGGCCAGTGACTCACGTGACTGCCCTCTTTTTGCCGCAGCTTGGCTTGCGTTGAATAGCTGCAATCAAGTGCTTTGCTTTGCCTCGTTACCAACCTCGTTACAAAGCCGATACATACCTCGTTACAGACCCAGGGCTTTTTGCCGCAGCTTGGCTTGCGTTGAATAGAGCTGCGGAGGCGTGCTTTGCGTGCTGCGCTTTGCTTTGCCTCGTTACAGACCTCGTTGCGTAGCCGTTACATCCTCGTCACAGACCCAACCCCGGCAAGGCCAGCGACCCCCTTTTTGCCGCAGCTTGGCTTGCGTTGAATAGCTGCAAGCAAGCTGGTGCTGCAGAGGCGCGCTTTGCGTCCTGCGCTTTGCTTTGCCTCGTTACAGACCTCGTTACATAGCCGTCACATACCTCGTTACAGACCCAACCCCCAGCCCGGGCCAGCGACCCAGCTTTTTGCCGCAGCTTGGCTTGCGTTGAGTAGCTGCAATCAAGCTGGAGCTGCGGAGGCGCGGTTAGCGGCCTGAGCTTTGCTTTGCCTCGTTACAAACCTCGTTGCAAAGCCGACACATACCTCTGTTACAGACCCAGGGCTTTTTGCCGCAGCTTGGCTTGCGTTGAAGAGAGCTGCGGAGGCGTGCTTTGCGTGCTGCGCTTTGCTTTGCCTCGTTACAGACCTCGTTGCATAGCCGTTACATACCTCGTCACAGACCCAACCCCCAGCCCGGGCCAGCGACCCAGCTTTTTGCCGCAGCTTGGCTTGCGTTGAGTAGCTGCAATCAAGCTGGAGCTGCGGAGGCGCGCTTTGCGTCCTGCGCTTTGCTTTGCCTCGTTACATACCTCGTTGTGCTGCGCTGCATTGTGCTACTGATACTGCTTCTCAGGAAATGTTTGTCCCGTTACAGACCTGTGTGACAAGGACCTCCGTTACAGACCTTCGTAGCAAGATTCGTGCGTGGCGCGTCGCGCGTTACAGACCCCTAAAAAATCCATAGCCATGTGAGATAGTAGCAAGCAAAGTGATGCTTGTGTGTTAATCGTGGGTCTGTTAGTTTGGTTGCTTGCTTGTTTGCTTGCTTGTTTGCTTGCTTGCTTGTTTGCTTGCTTGCTTGCGGCTATCTTGCTTGCGCGCTATGTCCCCCACGCCATTGACAAGACATACACCCCTGGATATCATTGATTCTTCTGGTCAAGTGGCCAATGCTGAAGGTTAATGATGACAAAGGCTCTGCCTGTATGCAAGATTCTCCAAACCAGCCTCATTCACAACAAAACCCTGTGACAAGGAGCCCGTTTCATCCGTGGTTGTGGTGTTTGGCTCAAGGCTGACCCTCAAAGAGATTGGACTCATATGACTCATAGGAATAGGTTGCTCTACATATAGCCCGACTCTGCCCCTGCGCAACTTCCTGGACCTTCTCACAAATCCACATACTCTACACCAGGTAGTCCCACAATCTTGGGGTGCCAAAGCATCCTGCGGGTCCCTTGTTGCTTCAGCACCATTCGCACATTCCGAATGAACCCAACACCGTACCTTGTGGCTACAGCAACTGTGACGTATGGCAACAGCGCTCATTCCAATGTGCATGATCTCATTCTTGGGCCTTGCGCCACATACAGACTGCGCAGCGTGCGAATTTCGCAAAGAACCTCGTGAGTGTGAGTGATTGTGTTTGTTCCTTTTCTCGCCTTCTCCCCTCCTGATACCCACCCCCCTTCTGCTTGGCTGAAGTGCTGGTACTCTCACAGAGTACATGCCGGGCAGCGACGCATAGTTTGGCATCGTCGAGGTATTTCACTCGGGGAGCTGTATAATTTTTGTCCGAATCCGCTAGGTGCGCCCTGGCATGGAGCTCCTCGAAATCGCGGAGATGGCGACAAGCCTAGTGCCGCCTTTTGGTTCGGTGATGCGCCGGAAGCATCGCAGTTCTATCTCCGTTTCTCAGGTTCTCCCACCGCTGGCTCTGGAAGCAATCTTATGTTGGAGAATGAAAGTTGTCTTTATGGAAAGGTCTAGAGATAGGAAAGGAACTAGATGAAATGATCATAGGTTTGCAAGTTGCTAAGTTCAACGACTTGTTTTCTGTGGCTCCGGCGGTTGTGTGACGCATTGCGGGGCGGAGGCTCGCAACGCCTCGTGCGTAGGCATCGCGGTTTCAGTTTTTTGTTCCGACGGTGCATGGAGCAACGCTGCGGCAACAACGCTGTTGCATCCCGCGCTGAATTCAAGCAACATACATTGGAGGGATGGATGGATGGACGGAGCGAACGGGGTGGTCAGGCTCACAGCTTGCTCCCTCCCGCCCTGTTGTGAATGCGAGTAAACGGTACACCTTGCATGATATGCATGTACGTATAGAGATTGTGTAGTGCACATAGAAGCAAATGCTGTAGGAAGACATAAGATACGCTGGCATATGCAAGCATATCAAGTGCTAGGTACAAGCACAGGTCGCGTGTTTTTATGTACCGGGGACGGGTGCGCGCACGCGCTTTGGTGCTGGGCCTTCCACGATGCGTATCGTATGCGCACAACTCCGCACTTACTGTCTGGAACACCTGCATAGCGGCCAGGTGCACATTGCCTCACACTGAACGCTGTCAGACAAATCTGTGGATTGGGGGTCGTGTTCAACGTCTCCAGCTTTAGAAAGAATGAAAGGAATCTCACAAAGAGCAGTGAGTATTGAACCACGCTTAGGCAAGCGCCAGGCTCAGGCGAGCGCTCAAGAGAGGCCACCATAAGCCCTTTTCAAGCTTTGGTTTGGAGATGGGTGGGGGTCAAAAAAGGTACCCAAAATGGAACCTTGGTAAAGGGAAGCATGGACTAAATCTGCGGTCCATATCCTTGTGGTCAATTTTGACCCATACCCAGATTTTGGGAAGCCGAGATTTTACAAGTTGTCGGTGCCGGTGATTGCACTCACGAGGTTGAGAAGGCCCGGCGCTCATAGCCAACATGAGCAGTGCCCAAATGCATAATGCTCAGTAAGGGGAAGCCATGACAAAGAAAGAGCATCGGTTTTCAGGGAAGGAAGCACTGTCTTCCTCGGTCTCATGTCAACTTCGGACATAGATCCGAACAAAGTGATTTCCTCGAACTCATGTGATCCTTTGGATGAATCCGTCGTTAAGCTTTATCCCAGTTGTCCAGTGGTGCCCTTTTTGCCGTTGGTTCCCCTGTAAAGCCAGCCAACCGAAGAAGGATGCCTTGTTTCCATGGTCACTGGGCATCTGAGTTCTGTGCCAGCACAACTACCTCATTGCAGGCATCAAGTAGCCTGGTCGGCTTCGATGCTCGAAATCCTCTCAGGCTGGTGTTCCATGCGCATGTTGCCATGCGCATGACATCCAAGAAGGGTTCTGGAACGTTGATGCAGAGGGGTGCCAAGCAAACCCCATCAAAGTGTTGCCCGCAAAGTTGATCCGGGCAAGCAAGTGTGTTGAAGGCAAAGGGTTGCACAAAATCATGTTCGGATTTGAGGCGAGGCTGGGCTTTTCCTACTGGGCTTTCGCTGAATGAAGTTGTCAGCGCCTCAACTGTCAGGTCCAAGTTTCAGGAGTAGGTAGAGCTTCAAAGTAGTTTCGACAAACCACACAGGAGGTTGTGCTTGCTTCTGCACCTGTTGTTGTTTTACATTCTACGTCAACTTAAATTGCACATTTGAGTTGCACATCGGCTGACAAATATGTCGATGCCTATCATGGCAACTGCAATGTTGCAAACAACAACTGCCCTGTTTGCGATGCCCGCTTGGCTTTTGTGCGGCCAATGACAAGCGGTACGACCCGTTCCCATGGCGGGGGCTGCGAAAAACACGGCCTTCGGCTTGAGGCCGCGCACGACACCGTGAACCCGGGCGATGCCCCAAGATGGCTCAGCCCAGCACCGCCGGCCATTTCGCGATGCAAGCGTAGAAGACCGGAGCGTTGCGAGGAATGCTGTCAGGCCTATTGGGATACTGCGGATGGACGAAATCCTGCACCACTGGGAAACCATGGGCAACCATTGTTTGCTGCCATTTCCAAAAAAAAACATCATTCCAGGGTTTCTTAGGTGGTGCAGTTTTTTTTTTATCAAATATCGTTTGATGGTAGCTTCGGTGTTACTGAATTCGCCAGGCGGACCTTTTGAAGGTGGACTTCGGCGTGCATGTCGGCCGCCAAGGCCAAGGATTCGGCTCGCGACCGGGAAGATTCCAGGCTGAAGTTTTCTGGCACGGAAAGATGCAAACCAAGAGCGCGAAGACGTGGGAAGCGCGTGAAAGAGTGCTGTAGGGGTACCTTCCACTTCCATTCTTTCCAGGGATCCTTCTTTCTAGAAAACCTCTGGAAACCCACAGAAAACGGCCGGTTTGTGGAAAGAACGATGGTTGAAAAGAATGCTTGGAATCAACCCCTAGAGACAACTGGCTTTGTCCATGCCTGGCTTTTGACCTGGATGGGTTGATTGCCCGGGAATTGCCAAGCCCGCTGAGGTTGAGGGACACATTCTGGACTGCGCTTTCTCTTTGGCCTTTGATCCCATGCATGATGAGCGCGGGCCTCTGGATGATGTCTACCCCCAAACCACTACCCCATATTTTGCTAAATTTCATGAGCCTCCCAACTCTTGGGAAATGGCTGTGGTGGTCCAAACCCATTTTGGTTGGGTGAATTCACCACCCATATTAGAACCTGTTTTAGTGGGGATGGGGATGTTCACTGGGGGGTAACCGGGCTTTTGACCCATGGCCACATTTGGCTGGTTGCTGAGGCTCATGCGCACGGTTCAAGAAGCTACCGAGGAGGGCATAAGGCCCGGCTCAGCAAGCATATCATAGAAGCTGGTCTTTTGAGGCTTGTGTGGTTCTGTTCTTTTTTGGTGGGCTAAATCAAAGCTTGTTGCTACCATATCAAGGGTTGTAAAGATGTTGCCAGGCTAGCCAGACTTGCAATATGACTCGGTATGTAACTATACAACTTGATCTGCTGGAGGCACGCCGGGCACGATGCGCGCATTGCAGACATCGGCAGCCGAATTCGCGAGGTGATGGAAGCCGGGGAGGCCTGATGCTCAACAATGATTGTAAGAGCTACAGTTTTCCTTTGCAGTTGAGATGGTTTAGGATGTATTGACCTAGTCACGTGAATGTCAAGTATTGGATCCTTGGGATTGAGCTTCTTTGTTTCCACATATACAAGCTTGGGGATGGATCGAGAGTTTTCCCGCAGACTGGCTTGAGTCAAAGCTTGCTCGGTTTGAGGTCGTAGGGCGATTGTTGGTCGATGGACAGGGGTTGTGCAGGTGCATCGCTCCGACGGCAAGGTTCTGCCCGTGAAGGCGGGAGATGAGCTATTTGGAGGGGGGTCAGAAGTCGGTCAGCATTTGCAGTGTCAATGTCGGTCAGTGCAAGTCTCATCCAAGCGCAGGAAAAGCGCATTGCAATGTTCAACTTGAGGCTATCCAGAACCTCACCGGGCACTCCATTGGACCTTACAAGATCCACTCAGGAAAGTGGTCGCCTCAATATGGCAGTTCGAAAGCGGTGTGGGTGAAATGTCATGAGTCAAGTGCATGACACTGCCGTGTCTGCCACAGACATTTGTTCGTTCCCTGTCCCTGTGACCTCCTCGCCTCCTAGTTCTTACCCCCATTCTTGGCCCTGAGAGTCTCGCAGCGTCATGAGAGTTTCCTGGTTGCAAGTGGGAAGCAGCTCACACCAGGTCTTTACCCTCCGTCGACACCGGCGGGAATGAGCGCATGCTGGCGGGCGAGCTGTGGGCTGCGGCTCAGCTCCATAGCGTTTTCGGATCGTTCTGCTCTAAGTCGATCTGTTTGGTCAGGGGGAAAGTGCGGAGTTGCGAACACCATGTGACTATGGGTCAAAATTAGTTCACTGGAAGATCGCAGGTTTAGTCCTTATGCTCATTTACCAGGGTTCCATTTTGGGCACACATGTTTGACCCGCAGCCATGTTGCTCACCCATGTCCGGGTCACGGGACTTCACGATGACACGCAAAGCTGCTGATGGCAATCAGGGATAGGCGTGTATCAGCCAGGAATGCGAAAAATGGTTTGGGCATGGTCAGGTGCCAGTGCTTTGAAGACAGTAGCTATGCCAGAGCAGGCTGTTCTCATACTGATGACAGCGGGTCAGTGCTGGACATGCGTTGGACATTGAAATGGATGTATCATCGCTTTGGTGCTTTGGTATCTTTACACTAATTTACACTGGCAAACTGCACACCTGCAGCTTGAGCAGTGACTCTTGCTAGATGCAGGGTACAGAATGCACTGGCGAGTGTGCACTCTCGGCACAAGTTTCTCTGATCTAGGTGGAAACCTTTGGTTCCGCGGGCGGCCTGGGCTATGTTGGAAACGGAGGCATGGCAGGGAGCGAGAGAACGAGTGCTGGCGCTTGCTTGACGCCATTCATGCGGAGGCAACTGCTCCCACTTCATGCGGACATCTAGTTCAGCGCCCTCGCAGTGGCAAAGGCCGGTAGAAACAAGAAAAACAACGCCTATCAGCCCTGAGCATGAGAAAGCCGATATGTTGCCTGAAAGCTTTTGATGAGTTGTGCCGGTAGGCACAGGTCCCGGATCTATATGAGTCATGTCATATGGGTAGCTGGCTAGGTCCATGCTGAGCTCCAGAGCGCTGAATCTGTCGCAGCCTCGGCGCTTGCAAGCGGGGCGCTTTTCTCGGATCCGAGAAATCTGAAGGGAGCGGAATGATTTTTCTGGGACTTTGGGAGCTGGGTTCATCATTGTACCTGTAGCACACAGAAGCTGGGAGGTGGTCTGCGTCATTCGGAACCCAACTTGGCGTGAGAAAGTTGCCGCTGCATGCGTTGCTTTTGATATTAGCCGTGGAGCAATTCACATGCACATGGTCTTCGATGGGCATAACCTGTAGGTCAATCATTGTTTTGCTCGATTTGTTCCATTCCGGACTGCGCCTGCACGCCCATGCCATTGAATTGGCATGATTGTCACGTGTCAAGAGTGTGCTCGCTCTAGCTTTATTTTGATGACGGGTTGAACACAAGCCCCGCGTAGTCGGTCTCCTTCGGATTTCGTTCCAGCTCTCGCTTGGATCGAACCAACTTTTCTGCCCAACCTTTGTGAGTCTACAGCCGTGGTGTCTAACAGATGAAACAAGAAGCGGTGCCACATTTAGCCTTCCTGGAATTTTGAAATGCTTGACTCTAATTGTTCCAGACCCACGTTGCGGAAGTTCCCATGCGCGCAAAAAAGGGAAAAAAAGGAAAACAAATATGAAAAAACAAACGAAAGATGGCCTGTCGCGATGCGTTGCACTCCATGTTCAGTGGCTACCGGCCCGCGAAGTGGAGGTGACTCTAGCTGCGTGTGGCTGAAGGTTCAAGAGCTGAGGAAGTTGTTTTTCTGGGATGATCAGTCTCTTTTTTTGTCTGAATGTTCAAGAGCTAGGTTGCGCACCGTGTGCATTGTGGAGGTTTTGCACAGCTGAAAGAGCGTCTGCTGTTTTTGTGTGTGAAGCAACAAACACATGAACAGGCAACTAGTTAACCTTGATTCTTCAAGCCACGATCTTCAGGCTGGAGCTGATCGACAAGCGCTTCAGCACGTTGGCCTTCTGTCCACGATGGGTGGTGCAGGTACCGGGCCATGGCGAGGTGATTTTTTTTGCAATTCATTATGTGAATCAGCTTTGCCTCTGGAGTAAGTTAAGTGGCACGGCTGTTTTGCCGGTAGACCCAGCAACAATAATGCTCAAGCTGAACAGCACCAATCTAGACAAGCAATTCAGCCACATCTAATCGCAAGGACCTGATCAAAGCGCCACCTGATTAGGCCTCGCCACACACTTGACCCCTAGCTTGACGTGCCCTTCATCATCCGCGCGATGCTTTCAACAATCAATATACAGACAGCAGGTGTGGCAAGGCCTTAGTTGTCGACACATTTGTTTAGGAAGCCGTGCCAGAGTCTAGTTGTGTTATCAGCGGAAAGCTGCATGAGCAAGCGAAATGCTTTTGAACGTAGCATGAAGACGTCAAGTAAACCACTGCATGAGAACAGGTGGAAGAAACCAACATGCGAAGATGAGACCTGTCAGGAATGGCATTTCGAAGAACATGACGCTCTTTGACGAACAGCTGGTTCCGAACTCTTCGACAATGTTGACAAACTCGGTTCGTCCATTAGCAACACGCAACGTTTTGCTGACTCGCCCGGAACGAATGCCGAAAGCATCATTGGCTTTCCCATGGAAACTGTACTCAGCAATCTGAAATGCGTGTCATTGAGCATTAGCCTGGCTGTTCAGGCAATCCTGAATCCTTCCTTCCAGGTTACGTAAGGGGTCCGCCGTTGCAGTGGCAAGCCCCGAAAGATTAAGGACTAGGATTGGCCAACCCTCCAATTTGTGACATTCCAGCTACAAGTAGCATTCTTTGGTAAATTGTCACTATGTTTGTATGACCCTATATCTGGACATATTCTTAGTGCCCCAACCAGCTCCAGATGCTGTGGCCTATGCATCCCGAACCCTATGTGCAGGAGGCTGAGCGCAGCAAGTTCAAGTTGGCCAAAGGTTCAGACCAGGTGCCTGACCTCGCCTCCTTTCACCCCAAAGCTGCGTCAATGTCTGCATGGTACCTTGGCGGTTCCCAGCCATCCGATTCCTGGGGTGTTTCGGGTTCAGTGGTCAAAGTTATAGCAGGGGATCTGCGGCCATTCAGCCAGTGACTGAACATTCGAAAGTTGAGGGACGTCAAGAGTAGAGCCATGGAACTCAAAGCGCAAGGGAAGTGCTCCGAAAGGTTTTCTGACAGGGTTCCATTTCTTGACGACCCAAAGATGGACTTAACTCCAGGGGTTCTACGTTTGGGGGAATGAACCACCCCTGGGTTGAAGTCTATCCTGGGGTGAAGTGGAAACCTGCCTCTCCATGTGCGCAGCGCTGGTGGTCTTCGCCCTTGGACGAGCTGTGCAACGTGGGGGTCGTGGGCAGGTGCCCCCTCAATGCGTCAAAGCGCCTTATGCCCAAAATGTCTGGGACTTTGCTCCTGTTGCGCAGTGGGCGCGGTGCCTGCTGCCAGTTGTGTGCTCATAGCTGCATCTGGCGAGGTATCCGCCCTTGGCAGATTTGAGAGGTTCGTACACTGCACAGCCCAAGACTTAGCGCCAGCATGCTTATGCCGCCTTGAGCGTTTTGACGCCTCTTAAATTCAGTGAAACACATTTCCCACCTCGATTTTGTTAGGGAGACCTGCGCAATTGAATGCTCACCGGCCTGGGATAGGATGATAACACCGGAAACTCACATGCACCAAAGTCAAAAGAAACTGGTTCATCCTTACTTTCTGGGCTATATCAAGTTAAATGGTCCTTTGGAGGTTGCCAGAGACCAAGGTACGAGCACACAATCTTGCTTGGAAGCTCCAAGAAGGAGGCCCAACGGGAAGGAGCCCTGTCGTACGCCTCGAAATGTGTATCCTGGTTCTAGCGTCGATGCTAGGGCCAAATTTGAACAGCACTGTTTAACAAATTAGAACGAGTTTTCAGGAGCTTACACAGATGATTGAACATTCGAAACAATTATGTTGAAGATGTTGTGTCCCGGACCAGAAATTGAGCAGCTTCCTTGATTTCAAATTGGGCCAGTTTGTGGGTTTGGGATGGGTGGGATGGACCGCAGTTTGGCATTCGCTTTTGAGACGCGGCTTGCAAGGTCTTGACCCGTGGTGCCTGCCTGAGACATGCGCGCCTTCCAGTTTCCATGGGAAGTGGCGCAACGACTCTCCGGCAAGTTGGCCTTCGCATGTTCCTCCGTTTGCGTCGGTGCCTGCCTTTGGCCGACCCAGGGTCTCAGAATCAGCCAGAATCAGCTGCTGCAGCTAGAATCGTGTGTAAAACACGGGCGCCCCTCCAGGGTTGACCTGCCGTGAGCATGATGCATGTATATTAGTGCCTTCCTTGGGGCAACGAGAGATGATTCCCTGAGAACGATGCGAAAGCGGCAAGGTAAGATATTGCGTATGATGTTCCAAGCGTATTGTGCCAACTTTGAGGACGCAGCCGCATGGTCATGTGTAGAGGCTTGGAGTCTTGGGCGTGCCGTGCGGCCAAGGTACAGACTACTGAGATATCAGTAGCACGAGTATTGCGGTGGACGAAAACTGACACGGCTTAGCGTGATATCCCTATGAATCTCAACGGACACCTTGCCACAAGAAGGTGATTCTCCCTGAGTTTGAATAGAGATTATAGAGAGCCGAACTGATCAAAGAGTCCGTTGAGCCCCAGTGGAGGTTGTTCCCAGCAAGGTGGTAACTGCAGCAGGTTACGGTAAATTCAAAGGATTCAAAGCCCAGCTGTGGCACCACTGATGTGCTATGCCAAAAAGCCATCAAATGTGTGTTTGCACTAGTTCATGTTCTGAACGTGCGTGCAACCCTTGCTGTACATACGTATTGCGTATTGGCATCAATCTGGATGCCTTGTGCTTTATAATGGGCCAGACGAGTTATAGCTTGGCAGTGTTTCAGACTGCCCCTCGGGTAATTTTGGTTTGAAGCTTGATACGACTGGCGCATTGATTTACTAGATATGAACTGACAGCAAGCCCTTTTGGACGTGTTTGGAATTTGCTACTGCACGTGTTTGGTGATGCCATGCTTCTTGACCCAACCCTTGCACTATGGCTCCTTGACGGAATTCTAAGGATGGCTTTGGACATTACAACCTACAGCTCATGAGAAGATGGTGTGTCCAACATGAACATAGTTGATGGCAAACGCGCTGAGGTTTGGACAAGGTAGAGCATTGTAGGGCTGCCTCGCGCCGGGCGATGGGCGATGACTCGCGGAGCTGAGCCATGATCGAGTATGACAAGGCGCGGAATGCTGAGAGTCCGACCAGAACCCATGTCTCTGAAACAGGAAGCAGCTCCAGTTGCCGATATTCCTACTACGACGCACGTGGTCATGTCATTCACTATGATACTACTTTTGCATTACGGAATTCATCCATGACTTGTGATGGTTGCCCCCACTACACCAGAAAACCACAACAAAGCTGACAAGGCATGTGTTCGATTAGGATTCAACCGTGTATTGCGCAACGATACCGCAAATGCAGAGAAGCAAATAGCATGAGTAAGAGACGCCACTCGCACTGCCACATGCAAGCATCTCAGCCCCAATCGACACACTTGCGTCTTCACATTGTTTGTGTTCATCGAATATCCTAGGGCTTCGCCATCACCAGCTGCGCTGATTGGCTGCAGCCATTCCCACCCACCCACCCTAGCGTGCGTGCGCGCGTGTGCGGGCGCGTGCATGCATGCACGCGTGCATGCGTGCGTGCGTACGCGCGCATGCGTGCTTGCATGTGGCGCGCGCCACGCACGCACGCCCAAAGCCAATCAGACGAAGACTGCGTCCCCGGTATCGCCTCTCAGCCCCGCAAAACCCCGGGAACTTGACCAGCAAGCACGGTATTCACGATGTTTTCCTTATAGTGGCGCCAGCCCCGCTTTCGCAGGAATTCGTAGAAACCCCGCACACCTGATCGCTAACATGCCCGCTATGTCCGCCCACTGCCAAAACCAACTTTCAGGGGGCCATTTTTTGAGGGCTGGCACGATGCCGGGGATGAAAGGGATGCATGATGCAGGACTGGTGAAGTTGGCGAGGATGTAGAGGATGTTGGCGGGGATGCTGGCGACTACCGGGCCGATTTGCGCGGCATCCACAGAGTTTGTTTGAAGGTTGGGCAACGTGGCATCAGGAGCCCTTCGCAAGGCCAGGCATGTCGGAGATATTTTGGGGTCCAAATGTTTCGGCTGGCCTGCGTCCGGGTGTCGCAGGGGATGCTGAGGAGCTCCTGGTGCAACAAAGCACGCCAGCGGTATACCCTATACAGGTAGAGTTGCCCTCGCTCTTCGAGCTCGCAGACACAGCGCAGCTGGATATATGAATGCGTGCGCTTTGTATGATTTCATCTTCTTATTGTTATTGCTCTTGATCTTGCTCTTGCTCTTGATCTTTTTGTTGTTCTTGGAGTTGTTGGTGGTAGTGGTGCTGCTGCTGCTGTGGGCGCTACTGGTGCTCGTCCTGCTGGTGCTGTTTCTGTTGCTGTTGCTGTTATTGTTGTTGTTGTCGCTGTAGTGGTGGTGGTGGTGGTGGTGGCGGTGGCGGCGGCGGCGGCGGCGGTGGTGGTGGTGGTGGTGGTGGTGGTGGTGTTTGTGGTGGTTGTTGCTGTTGGTTCTTGTTCTTGTTCTTGTTTTTCTTGCCGTCTTGTGCTTCTTTGTCTCTTGATCCTCTAGGACAAGACGTCAAGGATCAGATTTATTCCGGAATATGTTATTCCTAGTTTTGCACCCGAGCGTCGGCGGAGTGATTTCCTTGGTCAGACAGAGCTGGTTTCACGTCCATTTGCTGCACGGTGTGTTTGCAAAATGTGATTTTTAGAGGGACCTTTCAGAGTCTCTTTTTCCTTGGGGTTTCCCAGTAAACAAACCCTCCCCCCCCCCAAAAAAAAAAAGGAGAGGAAAAAAAGGAAACATGTTCTTTTGGTTTCCCTGTAACCCCTCAAAAAAAAACACAAAGCAAGCCTCAAAAATTCTGTCAGATCCACATGTGAGCCATTTCGCTTGCCTTCGGAGGGCGGCCTGGGCCTTTGGCTGCTGCTGCAGATTGCGGGCACCACCTGGCCCAGCGCGGTGCCACCGGCGCTCCTGGCCTCAGGCGCGTGCAGCCCGTGGTTTGGGGCTGGCCACGGGAGATAGAACTAGGTCCCCCAGCTAGGTGCCTTTGTACCGTTTCTGTTTTGGTTGGGAGGCTTCCCCTGCTAAAATAAACTACAGAAAAAGTTGGTACCCTTATTCTAACCTCCCTGGAGGACCTAGACAACTTGAAGCCGCAATCAAAACCCGGGTAGATGAAGGTTAGGAACAATCCCCTTGCCATAAATGGGTGCGGGAATCGGAATCCGCCGCTTGAATTATTGAAACATGGTTCTGGGGATCGACCATTTTGCTACCGGGTTTTGACTATCACTCGCTGGTACTCAGTAGGGAATGAGGAGATATGGCCGTGGGTAAAAACGGTTTTGGGATCCCATTCACCACCCATGTTAGGACCTATTTTAATGGATTGAGATTTTCACTGCAGTTACGCGATTTTGACCCATGGCCATATGAACCATCCCCTGTGGTTTCCTTTAAGGGGACCCCTGGGTTCATTCCCTCATTCCCTACTCAGCACCAGCAAGACAACATCATGTGAATCAACTTGCAAGAAGTTCGAACGTCCACCCCAATTTCCCGACATTGTTGTTTTTGATAGGGCCGCTTTGAGTTTCATCAGATGGGCGCAAAGACTCCTCCAGCAGACTGTGTTACCACTCTTTGTTTTTGCCATAGGGACTTGATAGGGACCTGATGCATAGAGTGTAGGACTTTGAGATGCGCAAGTTCGCCAAGACTGTGAGATTCATGAGTACATTGAGCAGGCACACATACTTGAGATGGCGCTTCCCATGAATTGAAAGGAAAAGCTTTGAAGCTCAGCTTTCGCCTTGTCGAAGCCTTCCTAAGGAATCAGCCTTGTCATGGGCCTCTACGAGGACGTGGACCTCGTGACCCGCGACCGAGACCTTTTCTTAGGCCACCCCTATGCCTTCCAGCTCTTCGCAGTGGTTGTGGGCAGCCTTCTGATCTTCAAGACCAATTCTGCGTACCAGAGATATTGGGAGGCCTGGAAACACGGAACTTCCCGTGCAGTTTTAGATGCGACCTCTGGAATCTGCTGTCATGTCTGCAGAGCTGGTTGGGCCATAGGGAGAGCTGGTGATTGACAATGTTCTTCATTCAGAGTCTCTGGGGCATTGCTGCTGGCATGTTGCTGTTTGAAGTTTGGAGGCTGCTGGGGCTTTGCAGAACATGGCCAGCAAGTGGCTGGACGGTGTGTGCATGGCCGTGTCCTTTGACGCTTCAGGCCCGGGATCGGTTCTTGGGGCGCGTGAGTCGAGCGCTTGCAGCCCCCTTTCGCCAAGTTTCGTAAG